TTAACTAAAAAACAAATTAAAATAATAAGGAAAAAAATACGGTTACATTTTATTTTCATATCAGATTTTTATTTAGGTTATTTTTCATTTTTTAAATGCGTTTACATATATGAATTATTTGTAATTAAAGAAGTATTGTATTATTATATTGAATTATGTTATATCATTCTATTTTAAAGTGTGCTTAATTAACTTGTGCTATTTTATTATTTTTTTATGTTAAATATTTTTGTTATGGGCCTATAATGATATTTTTTTATTTAATGTTATGCTTTTTCTCCTATAAAGTGTTAATTGTTATATGTATTTTATTTTATTTATATTTAATGTTATATCATGTTATGTTACAGTGTGCTATATTAACCTAAGCTGTTTTATTTCATATTGCATTTTGATTTATTGTTCATTTTCTCTTTTTGCTTCCAGCTGAGAGTCCCAGCTCCAATGCTTGCCCTGGAGACTGGACAGAGTTTGATGGCCGCTGTTTTCAGTACGTTCCCAAAGAGCTGAGCTGGGCCAAAGCTGAGGTCAGTGAGGAAAACATCTCAATAAACATTACGATGATTTATAAAGTAAAACATTTCAATATAAAGGAACTACAGCACGGTCACATGACTTCACGTCACCACTGCTAAGCTAAAGGTGGCTAATGTTGGGCTTTAAATTAACTACAGCACGGTCACATGACTTCACGTCACCACCGCTAAGCTAAAGGTGGCTAATGTTGGGCTTTAAAGGAACTACAGCACGGTCACATGACTTCACGTCACCACCGCTAAGCTAAAGGTGGCTAATGTTGGGCGTGACGACGTTTAGTCGTCTCATTTTGACAAACAAATACTGATTTATTTTATGTCGTAGAGATTTCTTTAAGGTACAGTTAATATATGGTGCTTTTATTTTGAAAAACAAGCCCGATCTTAAGCTTTTGTAACTATACAGTTACTATATGGGTCTTTTCTTTTTAAATAAGGCTAATCCTGTGCTTCCTATTAGGATACAATTACTATTAAGTTACTTTATTTTGAAAATAAAGCCTTGTCTGATGCTTTCTGTAAGGGTACAGTTACTAAATTAGGCTTTCATTCTGTTTCCGTCCTGGTTCTCTGTGACTGTTGTTAAGTACACCTTTTAGTTACTTGTACTTTACACAAGTTCTTCTTTCACACCTGCTTCCTGTTGATGTCCTGCAGAAAAACTGCCACTCCATGGATGCACACCTGGCTTCTGTTCACAGCACGGCGGAACACAACGAGATCCAGAAGATAATCATCGACGCCTCGCAGAAGCTGAAGGAAACCTGGATCGGAGGCTCGGACGCACATGAGGTATTTTATAGTACATTTACTTATGTTTTATACTTGGGTATACTCTATAGCAGGGGTACTCAAATACAAATCTTAAAGGTCCAAAATAAATGTTTCAATAAGACAAAGGTCCGTTTATTACGGTCATTCAAACTTTTAAACAATTGCAACAAGATTCTTAACACGAGGTTGCAAAAACAAAAATAATCTGTATGCAGCAGTTTTCATTGTTATTGTGTCTGTGCTTGACCCCTCAGAGTCGCAGTGTAAGAGCTGCACAGTTATGAATAAAGGCAGCTGCACCCTCTTTCATTCAGCATTCCCATTATTGCTTTATAAATGTCTTGCCCCCTTGTGTGTCCACTGAGGTTCGTCAGGCCCAACACATCTTCAACAAACTCCGCCTTTGCCTCATCATAACAACTCACAAACACCAGCAACTGAGCATTGTCAGTGGTGTCAGTGGACTCACCCACAGCTAAGGAAATGCACTGTGCGTTTTTGATTCCATCACAAAGCTGATGAATCAAATCACCAGCCAGTATGTATGTTCTTCTGGTTGCTGTGGAATCTGAGAGGGGGATTTGCTTGATTTTACCTGTTATTTCCTCTTTTTGATTGCCTTCAACATGGTCTCCATCACTTCAGTCATGCATTCTTTTATACTCAGTTATTATCCAGTGGAAAGTCCTTACCTACTGGCCTAGTTCAATCAAAGTGGTTACTTTTTTTTGGCTGGGCAGTGTAGTTTTACACACCGTCTTATTTGACTTTCTCAGGACTTAAAACAGTTTTTTGGGGGCAGACCCCCTCAAAGAAAAAAATATATTTACACACGTAAGGTCATCATCTTAATAGTTGTGTATGCTCATCCGTGAGCAGAGCATCAAGTTGACATGTCTATTACAGCTGAATGCGGCGATTACCATTTTGTTCATCAAAACGCCTCACAAACGTATTAAGATCAACAGCTTTAGTGCGTTTTGATTCAATGCTGAGTACAGCCACACTGACAGTCTCTTCTCTGTCATTGTAGACCGCACCTCATTCCTTCAGTGCTTGGGTCCGAATGCTTCTCGTTTTGCGCCGTCCAGTTCAAAATGAAATCGCCGCCAATCGTATGTCCACGCTCGCGCCAGGACCGGGGGAGGGGTTACATGACGTGCATCTTGTGCTGCATTCACTTGCACTCGGACATTAGAGACTTTCTCTCATAAATGTCCGATGAGCCACAACTTTTCTTTCAAAACAAAGCTGCCAACTGGGGTGGCAGCTGGGGTGGCAAGGCCTATTTGTAGGGTGTCAGTTGCCACCCCGGTAGGTGAAACTAGGCTACTAGCTACAGTACAGATGGAACTAGATGAGCTGTTAACTCTCGCTCTGAATTTTATTTTTTTTAATTCTCGCTCTGACTTAGACAGGTTGAAAGAGACACACACATTTTTCCCACCCGCATTCCGCGAAGACCCGCCCTACTGTGCCTCTGATTCGCAGATTGTTTGGGGGAAAAAAACGCTGACTGGATGCTGAATGTGATTGGACCAAAGCGTTGACACACACAGGTGGAACACAGTGGAACAGTCAGACATGCAGAGCGCTGTTTGCAGTGGACATAGCGGAGAATTTTGACTCGTTGCGAATGCGTTGTGGCGATGTCTCACATATAATATAGAGAGATAATACATATGAAAAGTATAATTTGCTCAGAGTCCGGAGACAGTGGTGGTTCGGTCCGGATCCGGACCGGAGTCCGTAGTTTGAGGATGCCTGCTCTATAGGTACTCAACTTGAGTATTTGAAACCTGTTCTATACTTAGTTTGAATAGCGAGCAGAAAAGCATTAAAGTCGGTCTTATTTTACAGTTTTTTGTCGCATTAAATACACTTTTTCTGCATGTGGACAAGTGGTTCTGGTCTGATGGGTCACAGAAAGAATAGCGAGCAGTAAAGCATTAATTGTCTGTCTTATTTCACAGTTTTTTTGACGATATGTTGCATTAAAAATAAAATACTAAATGTTTCTCAGGTGGGTGAGTGGTTATGGTCCGATGGCTCACATTTCGACTACAACGACTGGTGTGCCGGAGAGCCCAGTGTACAGGAAACCCAGAGGTGCCTGCAAATCAATTATACAGGTAAAATAATATTCTTCATTTAATAAGTAATAATGCCAACTAATTGGGCTTTTATTTTGAAAAAGTAAGACTAATCCTGAACTTCCTGTAAGGGTACAGTTTCTCCTTTAGGCTTTTATCTTGAAAAACAAGCTTTATCTGACGATTCCTGTAAGTGTACTGCTACTTTGTGGGGCTTTTATTTTTTTAAAACAATCCTTATCCAAAGCGTTCTCTACCATACGTAAACAGTTAGTTTCTGGAGCTTTTATTTTGAAATCAAGCCTCATCCAAAGCTCCCTGTAAGTAAACAGTTATTTTCTTGGGCTTTTATTTCGAGAAAAAGCATTATCCAAAGCTTCCTGTAAGTAAACGGCCGAGGCTATATACAGGACGGTCCTGTATATAAGGTCTCTGAAATGGCTATATACAGGACGGTCCTGTATATAAGGTCTCTGAAATGGCTATATACAGGACCGGTTTCTTCGATTTCTAAAATAAAAATGCCGGCGTAGCCGATAAATGATTTGTGTTGCTTTCAATGCAAAAACACGTCAACGAAATGTCGGCGTATTCTTTAAAAAAAAAAACTTCAGTTTTAATAAAACCGAGTAGTCTTTAAAGTATGCAGTGATATCCTTTACAAGTAAAACATTGTGCATTGGAAAATATAAATTAGAAAATGATTGAAACAACATAAAAAGATAAGCCAAAAAAAAGACTGAAATCAGCATAAAAAGCTAAGCAATTGGCATGGAAAGAGATTTAATTGCCACAATTTTATATTGAGGGGAAACTCATTGAAAATAATGTTGTCGTGAGAATATTTATCTGTGAATCCTATCCCTACATTACCACCCGCGAAACTTGCTTAAGCATGCTATAATAGCCCGGTCTGTATATAGTCATTTGACGTTAGCTGCAGGACGGTCCTGTATATAGCCATTTCAGAGACCTTATATACAGGACGGTCCTGTATATAGCCACTCCCGTAAGTAAACAGTTATTTTCGGGAGCTTTTATTTTGAATCCCAACAACGTTTTCGTATAAGTTCTATGATACTCATTAAAAAACGGACTTTCTGAGTGCTTGACTTTTACTTGTAAAGGAGCATTTTGACAGTTTATTATTGCTGTTTTCACTTTAGTAACAGGTCTTCTTTCAAGTAGTGTGTATTTTTTTTCCTTGCAGAGAAGAAGTGCTGGGATTCCAACTCCGGGGACTTCCGGGACTTCAGGTGGCAGTATACACCGTGAAGTTGTTTGTGGCTTGCCAGTAAACCCAAAAGCAGAAGAAAAAGAAGTGATGTCAGCGGCTCCACCCTCAGGGACTTATTCCGGTGTGAACGCGATTTACTAGATAGTTCTATGAAATACAAGTTCCGGGGACTATTCCTGGGAAAAGTACTTGACGAACTGCGGTACTACAACCTCGGTGTCAGTCCTTGACGTTACTGAGTCCAAAAACACTTTTCCCCATTGACTTACATGGGGAAAGAAACGTCTGTAAATCAGCAGATAATTATTTGAAAACTAAATAAACTTCCCAGTAGGAACTCTTTTATTGCCTTTATTTGAATCATTAGGTTTTAAAAGTTATAAAATGCTCTAAAAGCTGAATCCATTGTTATTTTATCTCTCCATTCATCTGAATGACAGAGAGCAGATGGGAGGCGGGGCTTAAGGGAAAACTCTACTGCGCATGCTCTGTGGGCCCACGTCCGGGTACTTCTGCTCTCGACCATGCTCTCAGGCAGGATCCATTTGTTGTAAAGCTTCCATCAGTCGGAGTCTCTATCAGCTCTCATTCATATATAACTGTGATATATTAGAATATAACCCGTTCCTCTCAGGAAAAGAAGAGACGAGAGGAGCTTTAGAACAATTCCACCTCTTCATCCGGGTCCTTATCTGCTGTTAGCTGCTTCATGCTAGTAGGTGAACATCAACAAACTGACGAACAAAGAGTAGCAGAAACACCAGGTAATACTGTGTACTTTTACTACTGAGATTACTGAGTACTTTTACTACTGATAATACCGAGTACTTTAAAACTGATAATACTAGCAGCAGCTAGCTCTCCCGAGTCTTTAGTGTTTGTAACGTGTGTTCGTATAGTTCACTTCTAACATCCCTAACCGATAGTACGGTCAGGAGTATACAGTACAGTCGTGAGTTCCTGCTGGAGAAGGAAATAACAACAAAACAAACAATAGACGCTACGCTGGCAGAGGTACTCAGTGGCTTTGGAATACGGTCAACCACGTGCTGAATAGGAGACGCCGCAAGCGGTGTGAGAGGAAGCACAAGAGGGGTAAGCGCGGAGGCATCCGAGTTAGGCTAGCAGCTAGCCCACACAGGCCCGCTATTCCGAGCATCATGGCTAATGTTCGCTCACTGGACAATAACATGGACATCATAAGACTACTCCGGTCGACCCAGAATGGGGTAACCCTGCTGAAAAAACCAGCTTAGACCAACAAGCCTAATATTGACTGGCTGGTCAGGCTGGATTAGTTGGCTGGTTAAGAGGGGTTTTGGACACTTTAGCTGGTCAGGATAGCTGGTTTGGTCACAGTGGTCTAGCTGGTCACCATTAGCTGGTCGGGATAGCTCGTTTAGCTGGTAAAGCTGGTGGTCACATTGGTCTAGTTGGTCAGGATAGCAACACCAACTAGAGAATGCAATTCCTGAAGAAATTGCTAGTGGGAATGCTTTATGCTGAAAAGCTGACGCTAAACTGCTATGCTGAAATGAAATGTGTAAGAAGAAAGTGCATAATTTAGATTGAAATGAAATGTGTAAGAAGAAAGTGAAGAATTTAGATTGAAATGATACATGAACACTGGGGGCTTGAATGTGTGATGAGAGAAGAAAAGAAAGTAAAAAGGCTTGGAAAAGCAGCAGAATATTTGAACTGCAAACTTCTGAACTAACTTGATGGTGAATGATCTGTCGCCATGCCAACGGCATTTGATGACACCCTATAATACGCTTAGATGCGTTGATGGCTCCATCGTTACCAAACCTGTGAAGTTTTGGAGCAGTTTCACTGAAGTTATGAGAAAACTGTGTTTCATGGCGAGCATTGTGTTGCCGTGGCAACGGCATTTGAAAAATATCAAAACTGTCCCGTAGATGTCTTCACGGCTGGACTGTTGAAGTCTGCTGCATGTCAGTTATTGGACTGTTAGCACACTGCTATCTGAAGTCTGCTGCTCTGAGCATGTCAGTTGGAGTGATGACATCATCGTGTTCCATTACACAGGTGTTTATATTTGAGCTAACGAGGTGTGCAGAGATCACAGGTTTCCATTGTTCTGAATGAGAGATACACCTCTTACATGTGAACGTTTTGTGGAAGAACCGTAACAGATATCTGTGAAATTTCAAAACGTGAAGCATGTCAAGGAAGTTGAGTATCTGAAGTCTAATATTTGTGTACTTTCGGGTTAATAATGTGGCCTTTTTGGCAGTTTAACTAAAGGTGTAACTGCTGCTGTGAGGAAATATCAGCCTGAAATTACAATGGGCTTTAATGGAGGCATGTTGAAAGTTTTTGTCACTTCATGCCCTCAAGAGGCATTTTGTTTAATTATTTTTTGCTTAATTATTTGTCATTTTTCAAGCTACGAGATGTTTTCCTACGTTTGTCATGAAAAATTATGTCTCAGGAATGTAGGGTTTGGGAATTATGGCAGTTTAAAAAGAATATATGAAGGCAAATTTCAAGATGTTCTACCCTCTAGCTGTGACATCACGCACTTTAAAATGTTAAAATCTGAAGAAAACCTCTTTAACAATGTCTGAACAATGTTTAATATCTCTAAAAGTAAGAATCAGATTTAAAAGTTGTTTTACACGAATAATGTCAGATAGATGTGTAACATTTTAAAGTTGGAATGAGGTTTCTGAGTGAAAGTATGAAGGAACAGTTAGCAGTTGAAGTCGCATGAAGATTTGTTGAAGTCTGAATAATTTCTCCATTGACTTCAATGGTGAAAAATGTGATGTATTATGGGATGTATCTCTGGAATTATGAAAGTTATGAATGAGAAAAGTAATAGCAATCGATTCCCGACCGAGCTGAACGTTTTGATGTTCGAACGGAGTTTCTGCGATGTTCAATGCGGGAGGAGAAGAGGGCCAAATTAAGTCGGCGGAATAATAAACTTTTCGTACGTAGAATAACAGCAACTTCAAGGTGGGGTAGGTAATTTTGGAGAAACCAGCTCGAGTGCGCTAGAATTTGAAAATACGCAGCCTTAAAAATCTGCCACTTCCTTACAGAGCCCCTCCTCCAACACACACGAACGCGCACATGACCAATGAGGGCACGAGATAAGTTTGTGCACAGATGGAAGGCTGACAGGCAGGTAGGCCATCCAGTTATTTTAGCCGGGCCGGCTCAGATGATTGGTCGTGCTTTTTACAGCGCCACGGCTTCTACAGATGACATTTTTTTTATGGATCTTTTGTCAAAGCACTTAAGATATTCATTGCTATCGGGATGTTAAGAGCATTCCATGGAATATAACAAGTGTATCTCAAGCCGGTTTCTCAAACTTACCTACCCCACCTTTAAGCATAGACATTTTAAAAAAGGTGCTACTGTATCGACATTTTAAAATGTATATTTAAAGAAAAAGACCTAACAAAACAGCAGGGCTCTATTTCAAAACAGCAGGGCTCTATTTCAGTAACTATTAACTACCAAAAAGGTTGTATTTTGTTGGTCGAACGCACTTATTGTAAGTCGCTTTGGATAAAAGCATCAGCTAAATGCAATGTAATGTAATGTAACTATAGAAAAAAAGAGAGCAACAGCTGACATCAATTCTTTGCTAAGCCTAAGGATAATCATAAATAACATAGTGAAAATAAATATATTGCAATGCTCAGTACTAGGGGTGCAACAACTAATCGAATTAATCGATTCAAATCGATTACCAAATTAGTTGCCAACTAATTCAGTTGTCGATTCGTTGGTGACGTCATCACATGTGTTTTATGCGCCGTTAAGCTCCAACGTTATTATTTATCAGTACTGGAGACATTACAAAAATATATGTCATGTATTATTGCTACATAAGCATTATATCGCAGTTTTAGTGTCGCCAACTCGTTTCTAATATGCAAAAAGACAAATATTATTTTTATTTTGAAATTCAGTTCCTGACGGACGCCAAAAAATCCAGAGATTATGGAATCAAGCCAATAAATAAAAGAAAGGATAAGTGTGGTATTGGTGAGTAAATAACAGTGTTATTTTGAAAAGAATAACAAATTAGAAGGAAAAAAAGATTTAAAAAATACAGATTTCAGTATTCTGAGGCTCTGAGCCCCATTTATTTTCCTCACAGACGGCAACAAAAGTCCGAAATTATACGATTTTAAAATAAAAGCAATAATTGTGGCTTGATATTGAGTAAGAACATGTTTTTATGAACCACACAGCTTCCGGTCTTCCACGACCCGACCGGAGAAAAAGACGTGCTGCATTACCAGTAGAAATACATTGCTTTTAAAATCGTGCTGTGCAACACGAAAAAAAAGGGGAAAATCGTGTTGATGAACACGAATCAATAGATTACAAATCGTGTTGGTGAACACGAAATGCCATGAGACTGGGTTGGCAGCAACACACACACACGGAGGAGATGGCGGAGAGAACGCGCTCCGAGGTGGTTAAACTTTACCCGTCTCGATGTGGACAATGCTCGTTACCAAAAGTGCAATAAGAGTTTAGCATGTAAGGACGAGCAATTTGTCTAAACATTTAGCAAAAGTGCTCCACATTCAGACGGAGGTATGCACCAGGTTCGACTGTCTTTCTAATAGCGCTGTAGCCCCATCCACGAGTAACGTTTCCACGTCAGGTGTTATGTATGCTAGCAGCAACACACGGAGTTAACTCAATGATACAAACATGGGTTAATGATTAGAGGTAACAGTTATTTATTTTGTTAAAGTTTCAGCTATTCTGTTTAAAGTTCTGTCATCACATTATTTAATAAGATTTGTTAAAACACTTGTTTCTTTTGATGTGAAATATTATGTAGCCTATTTAATTTGAATAAAAAGCAATGTTAATTTTGTTCAAAATCCATCCATCCATCCATCTTCTCCCGCTTATCCGTGGTCGGGTCGCGGGGGTAGCAGTTCCAGCAGAGAGCCCCAAACTTTCTTTTTCTTTTGTTCAAAATGTGTTTAGTTAATTTAATAATATATGTATTTTTGAATCAAGTATTCATCTTTATTGTCTTCATTGTTAGTTTCCACATGCCTAAAACAACCTCAAGCTAAATCTAAAAGTTGATGGCTAAATAAGAGCGTTTGACAAATTGTGCAAGGCATAATAGTCCGAATAGTCGATTAATCGTTTCATTAATCGATAGATTAATCGATTATCAAATTAGTCGTTTGTTGCAGCCCTACTCAGTGCAGCAGCATCCAACCGTCTCTAATCATAAAAAAACATAATCAAAATAAATGTATTGCAATGCTCAAAACAGCAGCATCCAACAGTCTCTAATCCTTGGATATTACATGTCACTGCTGCATGCATGCACGGAGCAGCTGTAGCGCGGAGATCATCATATCATTCTGTCTTGTATTACTTAACAAAAATAAAAATAAATAAATAAAACGGCTCGTTCGCGGGCGCGAGCCGGCTCCCGTCGTTCGCTTAAAAGAGACGGCTCGTTCGCGACCGACACATCACTACTAAAACCAGCATAGACCAGCATGACATCCATACTGGGCTATACTGGTTTAGCTGACCAGGCTGGTCTTGAACCAGCAAGAACAGCTTGTCCAGCCTGGTAAACCAGCAAGAACACCAGCAAGAACACCAGCAAGAACACCAGCAAGAACACCAGCAAGAACACCAGCAAGAACACCAGCAGAACACCAGCAAGAACACCAGCAAGAACACCAGCCTGAACACCAGCCTAACACCAGCCTAACACCAGCCTAACACCAGCCTAACACCAGCCTAACACCAGCCTAACACCCAGCCTAACACCAGCCTAACACCAGCCTAACACCAGCCTAACACCAGCCTAACACCAGCCTAACACCAGCCTAACACCAGCCTAACACCAGCCTAACACCAGCCTAACACCAGCCTAACACCAGCCTAACACCAGCCTAACACCAGCCTAAACACCAGCCTAACACCAGCCTAACACCAGCCTAACACCAGCCTAACACCAGCCTACACCAGCCTAACACCACCCTAACACCAGCCTAACACCAGCCTAACACCAGCCTAACACCAGCCTAACACCAGCCTAACACCAGCCTAACACCAGCCTAACACCAGCCTAACACCACCCTAACACCACCCTAACACCACCCTAACACCACCCTAACACCACCCTAACACCACCCTAACACCACCCTAACACCACCCTAACACCACCCTAACACCACCCTAACACCACCCTAACACCACCCTAACACCACCCTAACACCACCCTAACACCACCCTAACACCACCCTAACACCACGCCTAACCAGCCTAACACCAGCCTAACACCAGCCCTAACACCAGCCTAACACCAGCCTAACACCAGCCCTAACACCAGCCGTGCACGTTTTTCATGGAATCATGGCTAAATGACTACATCCCCAGAATCTGCCATTCAGCTCGACCGGCTAAACATGCTACCTACCGCTCAGACAGAGCTACGGTTTAGCGGGGGGAAGAGCCGCGGGCGGCGGTGTTTGTGATTGTTTACATCAGTGATGCTTGGTGTAGGGACGCTGTGGTTTTCTACAAACACTATTCGTCGCTGGCGGGGTTTATGTTCGTGAAGTGCAGGCCTTTCCATCTTATCCTAACCTGCTAGCAGGATGGAGTTAATTTCTTCCCACCTCTGCTGTAAAGCTACTTCTTAGCTGTTGTTTAGAGTCGGCGAGGTCCTGATCATTTATTCCGGTAAATTATTCTGACCTACTAATCGACCTGACCGAAGTTATTGAGTCTATGTAAGTTTACTGCTTGGCTCAGATCCACCAACGTCAGCAAGATCTCACCTCTATTAACTTCCCGAAGAACCAGGTTCAATTAACTGCTGTTTCAATTCAGACAACACTTTTTAATCTGTTTAAGCGATCCCGAAGGATTTTGATATCAGTAAATGAGGTGTGTTCCTACCTAAGTGTGAGTGTGGCAGGGTGCAGTCTTACCTTTGAAGCAGGAGAGGAGAGCACAGGTTGTCTTTTAAGTTATCCCAGTCCAAAAAGGTAGGATCAGTTTATTTGAAGAAAAATAGGTCCAAACTTTCATTTTCACCCAATCAATTCACATCAATTTCATACCTTTTTTCCGACACAGACGGCGGGTACTAACATTCAAAAACACACACCTATCTCCCGCAGGTATTCACGGTGGCGGTTACTAATCACAAACACACTCCTATCCGACACAGATGGCGGGTACTAACATCCACAAACACATACCTATCTCCCGCAGGTATTCGGAGGAAGATCCTCACGGTGGCGGTTACTAATACTCACTGACACATCTCCCATCAAATCATTCCACTCAGCATTCCAACCAAGAAATTCACTCAGCATTCAAAGAAATTCACTCAGCATTCAAAGAAATCCACTCAGCATTTCAACCAACAAATTCAAGAGATATTTACCAAGTTTGAGAGAACCTTACCGAGAGCTATTAACCCAGCTCTGAAGGACAGAGCCTACCGGGAGAGAGTATACCAAGGAAAACCCCCCTCTCTCTCGCGCTCTCTCAAAAAAACAGTATCTTTATGCTCAAAAAACCGGATCGAAACCCCCCAAAAAACACCTCCTCTATTCCCAACCAACATCTTCTATTGGCTATAGCATAAGACACACCTTCCCATGTTTGTGTAAAAAACAGGACATGAACAGACATATTCTATGGCTATGACATAACCAACTTTTTGAGGCCTCAATGTATTTCTCCTTCAGTCAGGAGCTGTTCCCTCCCTGTGAACTGCTGTCAGAGGAGAGGGAAAAAACTGCCTACTCTCTTATCAGAGAGTAAGGCATAAATCATTAGTATAGGTCTTACCCTCAACTTAACAAACCACTGGTGTTTTGTTTATGCTGTAAATATAGAAAAACCTAAAATATGAAGCATTTTCATTGTGGGTTATACAGGAATATAATTGATTATATTTGATTATAACTTACTTTCGTTTTAAGTATTCAACATACTATAAAGCTCTCAACACCCTCTTTTTAAAACGCAAAGTTATCAAACAGCAACAACTAAAATTGTAAGCATACATACATATTCAAAAATCATCAAGAAGCATTCTCATTATGGGTTCATTCAAGAATATGATTGATCATATATGATTTATAATTAACTTTCGTTTTAAGTATTCACTTCATATATGATTTATAATTAACTTTTGTTTTAAATATTCACTTCATATGGAGATCTCAACACTGTAGATTGGTTTTGTGTTGACTGTAGTGTTAATACTTATTTCAGAGACCCAGACGGAGAAGGAGCACTGAGAGCAGCATGGAGGGGAACAAAGAGACCCCCAGTACTCAGGTCAGTGTTCACTTCATCACAAAATATTCCTAACACTGTTCTCCCTAACACTGGAGTATATTTGTGTTATGGACTCTAAACCTGTACTTTTGTTTAAGGATAAACAACCTTGAACATTGTGGGTTTTATTTTACAGACTCTTACATTTAGATATGGGTTCAGGTGTATATCCGTATGTAGTGTCTCTACTTTAAAGAGTCCTCTCCTGCTGTTGTTCAGGTGTATATCAGTATGTAGTGTCTCTACTTTAAAGAGTATTCTCCTGCTGATGTTCAGGTGTATATCAGTATGTAGTGTCTCTACTTTAAAGAGTCGTCTCCTGCTGATGTTCAGGTGTATATCAGTTTGTGGTGTCTCTACTTTAAAGAGTCCTTCGCCGTTTTGAATCCAAAATAGGTAGTTTATATGATTCATCTAGATGTGCAATACAAATATTTGTTTTGGGGGGGTCAGCTCGAGTCTTCCTGTCTGTCGGCTGAACTCTGCTGCTCTGCGATGAGGGTCTAGCTTCAGCAGCTACATTACCTACGGGTGTGTTCGTTAATAGTAACTGTGCGGTCCGGAGTCACTGTTGCACAGACTGGACCGCCAGTGAACAGCTGTTATACAGCGGCATAGCGTGATGTGAACTGAAACGTTTTTCTGTCGCAATATTATTAAAGGAATCATTGAGCTAGCTAACTATTATACATTGTCACTATCTGCTAACGTTAGCTTTAGCCTTCGTTTTCTAATAGTTTTTTTCATAGGCTATAAACGGAGGTCTTACAAGTATATATATTGTACTTGAGTAAAAGTAGAAGTACCAGAGTGTAGGAACAATCCTGCGATCAAAATGTTCCTCAAGTAAAAGTAGATAAAGTATTATCAAAATATAGTTAAAGTAGTGACAGAAAAAGTAGTCATTGTGCAGATTGGTCCATTTCAGAATAATATATGATGTGTTTTATAATGATTGATCATTAAAGTGTTATCAAAGCTGGTAAAGATGCAGCTAGTTTTAATGACTTTGTATACTGCAGGGTAGCTTGCGAATTTACTCCAGAGGCCTGTATTACGAAGCCGGATTTTCGCTTAGCGGACTAACTTCAGGGAAAACTCTGGGTTTCCGGTCCTACGACGCTAGTTCTCTTCTTAGCAGAATAGATCTCCATGGTAACTTATGCTGAACGGCTAGCCTGCTCCGGAGCAGGTTAGGTTCCAGGATAAGAGATCAACTTGGTGAAAGCACCGCCTGCTGACCAATCAGAGCTCAGTGTTATATTACAGGAGAAAGGATATACAGTTTAGACTGCTGTTGCAGGAAAGACTGCCAGCAAAAATCACCGACTGTGTGAACTTGAAAATGAATAGAATATCACCTTTCATCTTCAGAGCAATCTGTCTATTATAACATTAGCGTTAAGAAAACGTACTTACATATCTGCCACAACATAAGTAACCGGATCAAAGTAACATTACGTACAGTCCGTGGCACTGTGAGTGCAGACGTCGATGTGTCCCATTATCATTCATATCACATCATAATGTAGACTATCATATATTTCCTTATCTGAGTCAGCTTCTTGAGCCGTATCTGGTCGTGCAACACGTCGTTCTTTAACCAGCTGTATTCACCTTGCAGGTGCAACAATGTTGTTTTTATCCTGGATAAAGCGTTTAAGTCATGGATGTTTAACCTATTAAGCCCTGAGCCTGTTTTTCAGGTCTCAGGCTCGAAAATGACATTCCCTGAACAATTCCCTTTTTAATAGGGGTAAATGCATAATTTTTTTTCTCAAAGCAATGATAAACCTGTGAGTTGGATGTAAAAAAGTCATAATCAATATATATCTTTTGAATTTTAATGTAAATTCAGATTGAACATATTCAAAAAAAATTATAGTGTCCGCCCAAATTAATTGTTTTATTTTAGTGAAAACCACCCCTGAAGGATGGGATAGTAGACTAAAAGCTTTAGGAATCCAAACTATGAGATATAATAAGTACCCTGTATCAAGATTGATGCAAAACAAGGGAAATCTGACCTGTTTAGAGAGATTTAGTAGGGAAAAAAACCACTTCTGGGGTGATTTGGGTGAATTTTCCATATCTCTGGCCCCCCTCTGTCGATTTTGACGATTGACATCTCTTTTTAACTGTTAGAGAAATTAGAATCGAGGGGAAGTTCCTAAAATTCATCCAAACATTACCCATTTGTGAATGAGTGCTGGGCAGCCAGAATGCCCCGGAACCGGAAGCTGCAATACACTCTGGTGGCTACCATTAGCAGCTAATATGAATTCTCCGATTTTTACATACAAATTGTATTATGGATTATCAATAATTTTTTCAGAGTGTCAGACACATTGGATTAACCTTCAGCTGCATTTTTCTCGTTTTAATGCCATTGAATCAATCAATCAGTTTATTTATATAGCCCAATATCACAAATGTTACATTTGTCTCAGTGAACTTCACAGTTTGTACAGAATATCAGTATGACAATACGACACCCTCTGTCTTTAGACCCTCACATCGTACAAGGAAAAACTTTCGGAGAAAACCCTCAGTTTAAAGGGGAAAATGGGAGAAACCTCAGGGAGAGCAACAGAGGAGGGATCCCTCTCCCAGGACGGACAGACGTGCAATAGATGCCGTGTGTAAATTGAAAAGATAATACATGGACCACAGCAACAGGATCAGCCACGACTCAGGATCCCGGCGTAGATAGACACCAAAAAGAAAATTTGGGGAAGCTGGGTTATTCGGAACATGAGAGTACACAGGTACAGACAGAGAGAAGGAAGAAGTAAGGTGTCCCCCAACAAACTAAGCCTATAGCAGCAAAACTAGGGGCTGAATCTAATCAGCCCTAACTATAAGCTTTATCTTAAGGTCTTAAGCGCACTCTTAAAACGGATAGGGTGTCTGCCGCCTGAACACAAACTGGAAGCTGATTCCACAAATGTGGAGCTTGATAAGAAAAGGCTCTGGCTCCCATTGTACTTTTAGAGACTCTAGGAACAACCAACAACCGTGCATTCTTGGAACGCAATGCCCTAGTAGGACAGTAGGGTATAATGAGTTATTTAAGGTAAGATGGCGCCTGCCCATTAAGGGCTTTGTAGGCTAGAAGAATTTTAAATGATATCCTGTGTTCTATAGGGAGCCAGTGTAAGGCAGCCAGAACAGGAGTAATGTGGTCCCTTTTCCTAACTCTGGTTAGTACACGAGCTGCAGCATTTTGAATCAGCTGAAGCGACTTAACTGATTTCTTGGTACACCCTGATAATAAGGAGTTACAATAATCCAGCCTTGAAGTAACCAATGCATGGACTAGTTTCTGTGCATCGTTTTGAGGCAAGATATGCCTGATTTTTGCAATGTTATGTAGATGGAAGTAGGCGTTTCAGATGTTATGTTTCAGTTGTGCTCTTGATAAGCCATTAAAACAGTAAAAACACGTTCAGTTTCCTTTTGCTTTTTGTGTCTCCTGTACACCAAAACATACCCATATGTTTTGATGTACAGGAGACACAAAAGCTTTACTGTATTCAGTAATCAGTAACTGATTACATTTACAAAGTATCCCTCCCTCCCAACCCTACACTACACATTTTTCATGGATTTCTTAACACCATAGTCCCTAATATATTTGTAGAAAGTTTAATTGTGTTTCCAAAGTACAACATATAATAAGTACCCTGTATCGAGATTGATACAAAACGAGTGACATTTTACCTCTTTTTTTTTTTGAGAGGTTTAGCAAAAAAAAATTCCACCTCTGGGGTGATTTAGATGCCCTCAGACACTGTTTCCTGCAGACGACGCGTTTTTCCCCCCAGTACCGCAACATCTGCAAGAAACAGCGTCTGAGGGCTTCTTAACATTTATAAACCTATTAATGTGTCATACCCACTTAACGGGAAGAAACTCGGCTATCAGACAATATTAACCATTTTTAGCAAGACTAAACATAAGGGTAATAACAAAGCCTCTGAATTAGCCCTGAGCGAAAAAATGCTAACAAACTTAGCACAGAACTCACGTTAAAATACCCTTATTACTTATCATATCTGCACAAACAAGATATCGATTAGCAAACTGAGATTGCACAGATTTGACAGGTATTGGTATCATTACGGGGGACATGTAGCGCAGTGGGTTGTCCGTAGGTGTTCGGATCAGGGGGTCACAGGTTCAAACCCCACTGCAGTCAGCATGTCGTTGTGTCCCTGGGCAAGACACTTCACCCCAAATTGCTCCTGTGGTGATTGTCCACAGTATTGAGTATGTAAGTCGCTTTGGATAAAAGCGTCTAACAAAGTAACATGTAATGTAAATACTGACCGATCCAAACTCGCGACATGAGAAGCTAACAAAGCCATCACACCATGTAGCATTAGGTAGCCAACACGACAATATGTCTTACTTTTGTTGTTTTCTGATCAAAAGTTGTCTTCAATGGCATTAAAACGATTAAAAAACGCTGCTGAAGGTTAATCCAATGTGTCTGTCACTTTGAAATGATTTCTGATAATCCATCAGCAATAAAACTAGTTTTCAGATTTCAGAGCGTAAGATAGGTTTCGCTTTGGGCAAACTGCATGCGCATAGCCCCCACTTCTCAATGGTAACGTGTGTGTGTATGTGGAACTTCCCCCTCTATTCTATTGGCTCTAACGGTTAAACAAAGCTGTCAATCACCAGAATCGACCAATGGGTTCCAGAGAAACGGCAAATACACCCAAATAACCCCAGAGGTGGGGTTTTTTTGTGCTAAATCTATCTAAAAAGTTCAAATGTCACTTGTTTTGCATCAATCTTGATACAGGGTACTTATTATGTTATAGTTTGGATTCCTAAAGCTTTTAGTCTCCGATCCCATCATTCAAGGGTGGTTTTCACTCTAACTATAAAGTAATGTTTTTTATTTTTGGACCGACGCTATAATTTACATTTTTTGTTCATTCTGAATTTACTTTAAAATAAAACAATTCTATATTGATTCTGACTTTACTACATCCAACTGACAGGTTTATCATTGCTTTGAGAAAAAAGATGATTAATTTACTCCTTTTTAGAAGTGAAGATATTGTCATTTGTTCTGGGAATGTCATTTTTGAGCCTGAGACCTGAAAAACAGGCTTGGGGCTTAACGGTATCAGCTTATAATTTCTCCAGTTAATTACTTACATTAAGACAATTGTTTTTTGTGTTACAAGTTTTCTGAAATAGCATGTTTAAATATGCGCATATTATCACACATTTCAGGAACACAATTCTGAACATTGGATAAAGTCAATTCTTGTGTCATATTAGAATCTAAAGTTTTTCCCGAAGCAATTTTGGATATCTCTATCACTCCATAAATCAGAAAATACTATCAACAGCCCTAAAATATAAATGTTTGCCATGTTCTTAGGTATGAAATGTCTTAAAATTCAGCCTATATATGAACAAACCCTTCTGTAAAAACCTTCAGAATATTGATAGGAATATAATTGGAAGGTTTGGTGTATGTAAGTGCTACTGAAGTGGGAATTTCTCACTCAGAATATGAGAAAAAAAACTCATTTTGAGAAAAGGACCTTTAAAGATGGCTGTGTGGCGCTACCTAAACCCTCCTGTTCTCTGGGTGACAGCTTGTACCTCGACACACTCCGTGAAGGTATTTCATGTTCGGGGTCATTTGTTTTTCGTCTAACCTTGCTTCGTGGAAGTGAAAATTGTTGTTGTCTTCTATATGAAACATTTTTTCGCTGTCCTTTTGAGATTAACATTTCCAGGGAAAGCTAAGCCAGGAAGTGTTTTAGCACACCACGTGACGCATCTGAACGAATCACGTTGTCAGAAATTGACACCAGTCAATGAGATTTCGTTTTTTGGTTTAAGACCCCTTTGTAGACGATTGGTTGCTGATACAAAGGAAATGACCATATTTGGATCCGATGAGATTGTGCAGGAGAGACGGAGCTTTCCAACGATACCTCTGATTACATGGTGCAAACAGCGGTCGCGGTACTTTCTGTTACGTTAGAATGCTAACTTTTGGTGAATTTAGGAGAAATCTGCTGCATTTGAGTGATTCTTCAACAGTTATTTAATAACATTTGTTGAGAACAATTAGTTGAAAATGATAGCACAATGACTTTTGTTTTTGTTCAAGAAGGCATGTTGCAAAAGATTGTAAAAAAAATGTACTTAATGAATGTCTCTCTCTCTCTGTATTTCTGTTGCTTTAGAACCAGAGAGGACTCAGACTTCACAGCTGTGACCTGTGTGATAAATCCTTCAAATCCTCTAAGAACTTAAAGGTTCATCACAGAGTTCATACTGGAGAAAAACCGTACAGCTGTGACGTGTGTGGGAAAACGTTTTCTACAGGTGGACAATTAAAAGTCCACCAACGCATCCATACTGGAGAAAAACCGTACAGCTGTGACCTGTGCGGTACAACGTTTTCTCAGGGTGGTGCGCTCATTGTCCACCAACGCATCCATACTGAAGAGAAACCGTACAGCTGTGACCTGTGTGACAAATCCTTCAAATCCTCCGGGAACTTAAAGGTTCATCACAGAGTTCATACTGGAGAAAAACCGTACAGCTGTGACCTGTGTGGGAAAACGTTTTCTACAGGTAGACAATTAAAAGTCCACCAACGAATCCATACTGGAGTTCATACTGGAGATAAACCTTACAGCTGTGACCTGTGTGGGAAAACGTTCAATAATGGAACTGAGCTGAAGTCCCATTATCGTATTCACACTAGAGAGAAACCATACAGCTGTAACCAATGTGGGAAAACCTTTTCTAACAAAAGCAATCTTTCATCTCACCAGCGCATTCATACTGGAGAGAAACCATACGGCTGTGGCCAATGTGGGAAAACCTTTTCTAACACAAGCAATCTTTCATCTCATCAGCGCATTCACACTGGAGAGAAACCACACGGCTGTGATGAGTGTGGGAAAACGTTCACTTCATCAAGTATGCTCACTATCCATCATCGTATTCACACGGGAGAAAAACCATACTGGTGCGAAGAATGTGGGGAAATGTTCGCTTCATCAAGTCAACTCACAATCCATCATCGTATTCACACGGGAGAGAAACCATACAGCTGTGAAGAGTGTGGAAAAGCGTACAATACATCAAGTCAACTCACAGTCCATCATCGTGTTCATACAGGAGAGAAACCACACAGCTGTGACGAAATGTTTTCTCGTTGTTGTGAGCTTAAAGTCCACCAGCGCATCCACACTGGAGAGAAACCGTACAGCTGTGACCAGTGTTATTAGGCTTGTTTGAGACGAGCTGCGGCTTGCCTCGAAAGTAGATGAGAATAGCCAATCGCAGCCGGGGGAGGTCTCAAAAAGCTCGGCCTCGGCTTCTTCTTCTCTCGGTTTTTTGGCGGATTGCAAACAACTTTAAGGTGCATAAAGTCCGGAGTCGGCTTGACTCGGTTTGCATTTATAAAGAATGCACAAATGTGTTTAATCGTTAATGTCAGATATGTACTAAGTAAATACATTTGTTCCTGCTCAAGATTAGATTCAACTTTATTGTTATTGCACATATTACAAGTACTGAGACAACGAAATGCAGTTTAGCTTCTAACCAAGAGTGCAACAAGCAGTAACGTACACAATCTACAGAATAAAATATAGAATTAATTGAATGATGAATAAACAGTGAGGGGTATGAATACACTAGATATACACAGCAGCCTGTGAGCAATATGAACAGTGTGTATGAATATGCTAAGATATATAAAGTATGAAAACAGTAAGCAGCGCAAGTATAGTATAAAAATATATAGATATTAATTTCATGATGATAAACATTGTGGAACAATGATGAAAAATGTGAATGGAAGTGGCGATGTAAAACTGACACAAAACAACGAGCCAATTGGAGAGTTTCATCAGCAGCCCCTGTCCCCTTTGAAATGTTCTGATAATCTATAAGCAATACAACTGCAATTCCGTTATAAAATATCAGAGCAGGCCATTCCTACGCTCTGTGGCAAGTTTGAAAATGCGAAGACGCAACCTTTTTTGTTTTAACATGTGTGTGTGCGGGACGATTTCCCTTCGATTATATTGGCTCTAGCAGTCAGAAAGAGATGTCACATGTCAAAATCGAAGAAGGGGGGCCAGAGATAAAGAAAATCCACCAAAATTTCCCCAGAAGAGGTTTTTTTTGCTAAATCTGTCTGAAAAAGGTCAAATATCACTTGTTTTGCATCAATCTTGATACAGGGTACTTATTATATGTTGTATATATTTGGATTCCTAAAGCTTTTAGTCTACTAACCCATCATCCAAAGTTAGTTTTCATTATATGTACAAAATAGTTTTTGGACGGACACTATAATTTACAGTTTTTTACCATGTTCAATCTGAATTTTCTTTAAAATAAAAAACATCTATATTGATTCTGACTTTTCTACATCAGGATTATCATTACTTTGAGAAAAAAGATTATTAATGTAACCCTTTTAAAAGGGAAGATATGGTCATTTGTTCTGGGAATGTCATTTTCGAGCCTGAAACCTGAAAAACAGGCTTGGGGGTTAAGAGGCATCATCGTATTCACACAAACCATACAGCTGTGAACAATAAGGGAAACCCTTTACTCAGATCAGTACCCTTAGATCCCACCAGCGCACTCACTCTGCCTCCATCTGATCCTTTTCTGAGTCAAGCTAGCATTCCCCCTGTTTTCTCCAAATGTAAATGACTTTACGTTCTAATAAACATTTTTTTTATGGACTACATTCAGACCACCCTAAATCCTGCTGTCCTCACACACTTAGCTATAGATGTAAATTCTCTGGTTGATAAAAATGTTTTCTTTTTATTTAGATAAAGCAGCCTTTTCACCTGTGTGTAACGTTGTGACGGCTGCACATTGATTTAACCTGTTTAGTCAGTGAGCCCCCGGTCGAGGGCGCTGCAGGTTTTTTTTTCACGAAACTGTGTCTCGGGGCTTCTTAATATTTAAAAACCTATTAATGTGTCATTCCAGATTAACGGGAAGAAACTCAGCTAACTGATGATATGAACCATTTTTACCAAAACAAAACACAAGTCTCATAAGAATGACCCCTGACACGTAGCATTATGGAGCAAACACGGGAGATGATCTCACCGTAGCTGTTATTCTGATCAAAAGTCGTGTTCAATGGCATTAAAACGATAAAAACGCTGCTGAGGGTTAATCCATAGGTTAATCCAATGTGTCTGTCACTTAGAACAAATTATTGATAATCCATAATTCCATTTTTATGTAAAAATCTGAGAGTAAATATTAGCTGCTAATGGTTGCCACCAGAGTGTATCGCAGCTTCCGGTTTTCCAGTGGGGCCAGAGATAGGTCAAATGACCCCAGAAGTGGGTTTTTTTTCACTTGTTTTGCATCAATCTTGATACAGGGTACTTATTATATGTTATAGTTTGGATTCCTAAAGCTTTTAGTCTACCATCATATTATTCAAGGGTGGTTTTCACTATAACAATTTTTTTTTTTTTTTGGGACGGACACAATTATTTACATTTTTTTAGTGTGTTCAATCTAAATTTACTTTAAAATAAAAACATCTATATTGATTCTGACACTTCTACATCCAATTCACAGATGTAACATTGCTTTGAGAAAAAAGATCATTAATGTACCCCTTTTTAGAAGGGAAGATATGGTCATTTGTTCTGGGAATGTCATTTTTGAGCCTGAGACCTGAAAAACAGGCTCAGGGCTTAACAGGTTATGGTGTTTCTTCTAAACTGTAGCGGCAGGGGAAAAGGATTAAGGCATGTTGTTTATCATGAAATGAACTATGATACATGTACTGTATATTATCCTTGCAACTGCAGTAGTTAATGTCCACTTTTATGTACGGTTTGAGGGTGTGGGTCATTAAGCCTCATCTGCATATTCACCTGTCGCGGCGCGCCCAGAGACTTTTTAGTGGGCGCGTCACCGTGAGGCCAGGGGTTGGTTCTCACAGGAGGAGGAAGTGTGTGTGTGATGAATGCGGGTATTCAGCGGGATATTAAAATGTCCTCAGCATGTATATACAGTGGGGGAAAAAAGTATTTAGTCAGCCACCAATTGTGCCAGTTCTCCCACTTAAAAAGATGAGAGAGGCCTGTCATTTTCATCCTAGGTACACTTCAACTATGAGAAACGGAATGGGGGGAAAGAATCCAGGAAATCACATTGTAGGATTTTTAATGAATGAATTAGTAAATTCCTTGGTAAAAAAAGTATTTGGTCACCTACAAACAAACAAGATTTCTGGCTCTCACAGACCTGTAACTTATTCTTTAAGAGCCTCCTCTGTCCTCCACTCGTTAACTGTATTAATGGCACCTGTTTGAACTCGTTATCAGTATAAAAGACACCTGTCCACAACCTCAAACAGTCACACTCCAAACTCCACTATGGCCAAGACCAAAGAGCTGTCAAAGGACACCAGAAACAAAATTGTAGACCTGCACCAGGCTGGGAAGACTGAATCTGCAATAGGTAAGCATCTTGGTGTGAATAAATCAACTGTGGGAGCAATTATTAGAAAATGGAAGACATACAAGACCCCTGATAATCTCCCTCGATCTGGGGCTCCACGCAAGATCTCACCCCGTGGGGTCAAAATGATCACAAGAACGGTGAGCAAAAATCCCAGAACCACACGGGGGGACCTAGTCAATGACCTGCAGAGAGCTGGGACCAAAGTAACAAAGGCTACGATCAGTAACACACTACGCCGCCAAGGACTCAAATCCTGCATTGCCAGACGTGTCCCCCTGCTTAAGCCAGTACATGTCCAGGTCGACGTACTGGGGCAATGCGGGGGCAATGCTGGTAGATCGCGAGTCATTACAAAAATGTTTTGAAATAGACAAAACAGGTTTTGATCCCTCCTCCCTTGGCCTCCCTGCCACTTAATTCAGGAGTTTACTTGATTGACAGAAAAAGCGACCTATCGCTTTCCAGTCTGTTAACCCAGAATGCAAAGCGATACAAAATCAGTCAAGTGCCGGGAAAACTCAAATTAAGTTAAAGAGACAAACAACAAAATGAGTGCGGGACCGAGCAAAAAGCTAAAGACATACCACTTCCACCCAGAATGGGAGGAAGAATATTTTTGCTGTGATGTCACATTCAAAGGTTATTTGCTTTATTTGTAAAGCAAGCGTCGCTCTGCCAAAGAAAGGTAACGTGGAGAGGCATTATCGGAGTGTTCACAAGGCATATGACAGCGACTTCCCTCCGAGTAGCGAGTTGAGAAAGAGAAAGGTCATGTATTATTGCTACACAAACATTATCTCGCAGTCTTAGTGTCGCCAACTCGTTTCTAACATGCAAAAAGACAAACAAATGCGTCTATGGTCGGTGTATTTTCGATCTTTCCAATCGAGACGAGATCTCTCTCTCCCCCCGTCTGTGTGCGAGGGGGGCGGGGCAGTTTACACACGCGGCTGCTTCATGCATTAACACACGGCGGGGATGGCGGAGAGAAGCGCTCCGAGGTGTGGTTAAATGTTACCCGTCTTGAGGTGGACAATGCTCCTTGCCAAGAGTGTTTAGCATGTGAGGGCGGTAACACGAGCAATTTGTCTAAACATTTAGCAAAAGTGCACCACATTCAGACGGAGGAATGCACCGGGTTCGACTGTCGTTAGCTCTGTAGCCCCATCCACGAGTAACGTTTCCACGTCAGGTGTTATGTATGCTAGCAGCAACACACGGAGTTAACTCCATTATACAAACATGGGTTAATGATTATAGGAAACTGAGTTACTCTTTATTTTGTTAAAGTTTCAGCTATTCTGTTTACAGTTCTGTCATCACATTATTTAATACAATTTGTTAAAACATTGTTGTTACTTTTGATGTGAAATAATATTTATTTTATTTAAATAAAAAGCAATGTTAATTTTGTAAAGAATTTGTTAAGTTAATTTAATAATATATGTATTTTTGAATCAAGTATTCATCTTTATTGTCTTGTTAGTTTCCACATGCCTAAAACAACCTCAAGCTAAATCTAAAAGTTGATGGCTAAATAAGAGCGTTTGAGAAATTGTGCAAGGCATACAGTAATAGTCCGAATAGTCGTTTCATTAACCTCTTAAGCCCTGAGCCTGTTTTTAAGGTTTCAGGCTCGAAAATGCTATGCCCAAAACAAATGACTATAACTTAACTTCTAAAATGGTTATATGAATAATTTATTTTTTCAAAGCAAGGTTACATCTAGAAGTGTCAGAATCAATATAGATTTTTCTCAGTCAGAGTAAATTCAGATGGAACATAGCAAAAAAATGTAAATTCCTGTCTCCGCCTAAAGAAACCCCATTACTTATAGTGAAGATCAACCTTGAATGATGGGCTAGTAGCCTAAAAGCTTTAGGAATCCAAAGTATAACATATACCCTGTACCCTGTATCAAGATTGAGGCAAAACAAGTGACATTTGACCTTTTTAGAGAGGTTTATGAAAATAAAGTCCAGGCGGAATAAGCTTTTGGCACATTTGGTTCCATCAGTGCCATTTGACCTTTTTCAGGTACCAGACTATAAAAATCATTGTATTACATTGAATCATCACTATAGGTATTCATTCCACCCAAAAAAAAAAAATATATATTTTTGTGTGTGTGAGTGTGTGTGTGTGTGTGTGTGTGTAGGTGTGTATGTGTAAGTGTAGCTGTGTGGGTGTGTGTAGCTGTGTGGGTATGTGTAAGTGTAGCTGTGTGTATGTAACTGTGCCAACGCACTATACAATAAAACCACACTGTAGGTCATTGTGTGTAGGTGTACTTGCACAATTAAAAAAAACAGAAACATAGGTAACATTTGACTCCAACTGGGGCAGATTTATTTCAAACATTTTACCAACACACTTTCGGCATGTAAAAACAAACATTTTACCAATGTACTATACAATAAAACCACACTGTAGGTTTGTAAAAACAACAAATATTTTACCAACACACTATACAATAAAATCACACTAGGTATATAAAAACAAGTATTTTTTTTTAAATAAACACTCGCAAAACGTTATACCTACCTGAACTTTATACCTACCTGAATGTTCCAGTATTTAGGTCGTGCCACTCCCTGAACAGTTCTTTTTGACAGTGAAGCACAGAGGGACCTGGCACTTCCTGCAGTACACAGGTGTCCTCACCCTTTTGAGTCCAGCATCTAGGCCCCTCCTGCAGTTCTTCCTGACCTTGGTGGCATCTTCCCCATAATACTCGGACATGCATGTGAGTGATGGAGGAGGGGGTGGTGGAGGTGCAGGGCCTTCAACAGGGCCTTCAGCAAACTCCAATAATTCTGCAGCAAGCTGCTCCCTAAAAGTCTTCTGGGTGTGTGGCTTTGTCCTGCTGGGGTCACTCCTCATCTAACAAATGTGGAAAAACAAAGAGATTAGATTAATTCACTGGCTTATACTTATAGGATAATATTGGACTATAAATGAATAATATTACACCAAATAAATAAGTAAACACATGTATATTCATTCACTGGCCATTCATTTAGAAAATGTAACTCCAAAAAGACAAGTAACACTATTTAGCATTTTGGCTAATCATTCCTGTTGGCTATGCTAACACTGTGATGCCGTTCCACCAAACACAAAAGTAATATATAAAAAGGATAATATTGGACTATAAATGAATAATATTACACCAAATAAATAAGTAAACACATATATATATATATATTCATTCACTGGCCATTCATTTAGAAAATGTAACTCCAAAAAGACAAGTAACACTATTTAGCATTTTTGCCTAATCATTCCTGTAGCTTCTTGGCTAAGCTAGCACTGTGACGCAGTTTCACCAAACACATAAGTAATATATAAAAGAGAGATTACATACCTTTCCCGTGGTGGAAGTTCAACATCCGAGTCACTACTGTCCGGATCCAGGTCTCGCTGGAGGAGATCTTCATCATCCGACGAAGAGTCATCTGGTATGAGCTATCGTCAGCTAGCATCTCTAGCACCTGCTCACCTCGGTGGTGAAGCTCTCCCTTCTGGCTGCGTAATGCGTAATGGAGCCGGAGCAGGCGTAGTTTATACTACGCAGGATCATATCTTTGGAACCCATTGGTCGATTGACACCTTTTCTGAACCATTAGAGCCAATATAATCGAGTGACAGTTAGTAAGTCCCGCTAAACACTTACGTCAAGTAGAGAGAGGTTTGCGTAAACAGCACATGAGACAGCATTAGCTCGGGACTGCGAAACTTTATACCTACTCTGCTGCCATGAATGTAATGATAGATTATCAGGAACAATTCTAAAGTGACTAATAGACATTGGATTAACCTTAAGCAGCGTTTTTATTCCCTTGAACACGAGCTTTGATCACAAAACAGCAACGGTAAGACATAATTATTGTTATGGTTTTGAAAACTGTTGTTTTTTTTCTTCTCTGTTCTGGTTGATATCTCAGTGAGTTTGTGTCCTACAGTGATGATAGTTATAACAAAATAATCTGTGGAGTATCAGCTTTCAGATGATATGCAGTTTGTGCAGAAAATATTAAGTTTTAAAGATCGTTTTTGCTAGTTAGCACCGGAAGTAGCATCTGCCCGTTTTAGCTAAGGGCTAATGCTAACGCTTCTTGTGAGACTTGTGTTTTGTTTCGGTAAAAATGGTTCGTATAGTCAGTTAGCTGAGATTCTTCTCGTTAATCTGGTATAGCACATTAACAGGTTTTTAAATATTAAGATGCCCTGAGACACAGTGTCGTGAAAAAAAAAACCTTCGGGCTTAACAGGTTAAGCTATCCTAAAAAAGTCAGTAAATGTTTTGGTTTTTTAAAAGACTACATTTACAAAAGGACCTTTTGACTGTGTTTGAAATGTGTAATTGATGTTAGCTTTTTGTTTTGATATATATATATATAACGTTGTGCAATGAAATATTGGGCTACTAGTAATCTCGAACCGTCAGCTTAAAAAAGAAGGTGCGATACCGTTCCGATAAATATCAATAATTTCGAACATCGCGGGGAAATTCCTTCGACTCATTTTGAAGTTTTGGGGGAAGCCGGAAGTGATAACAAATGCGGGAATGCTTCACTGTGCGGCTAGAGAGCCAAACACGGACAAAGTGTGTTGTCATGCGTAGAAATTGTGAATTACTGAGTTTAGGCACGTTAATAACGTTTTTAAAAAATATATTAAAGAGAGAATTGCACATTGCAAAAAATATGATGAATTTTGGGAGAAAAATACTTATTTACTAAACAAATGATTCCTTTTCAATATAGCTGCAGTTCAAATAAAGACCATTCATAAAAACCTAATGCAAAGTCATTGTAAGTAATTATAAAACATTAAACAGTTTCTAATGATGAGTCAAAGAGTCTCTTTGTGTCAAAGACTTTAATGAGAAAATAGAAAAAAAGTTTGAAGTTTACAGCTCAGATTATTACAGCAGCAAGAATCACATTTACTGAGAAAACAGAAAATGAACGGCCATCACAATGAAGTAGAGATAATGTTATATCAGAGTTTCACTAGAACAAGAATGTCACAAATGTACTTTATCACTTCTCATACCTAACGTTTTGAAGATCACTTGAAGTAAATACAAAAAAAAGTACCAAAAAAGCCACTCAAACCTTTGAATTGAATCAAAACATAGAAAACACGATTCAGTGAACGTTACACACAGAACAATGTAAAAAGGCTGGTTTATCTAAATAAATAAAACATTTTTATGAACCAGAGCACCACATATAGAGCTAAGTGTGTGAGGACAGCAGGATTTTGGGAGGTCTGAATGTATTCCATAAAAAACCTGTTTATTAGAACTAGGGCCGGGACTTTAACGCGTTAATTAAGATTAATTAATTACACAAAAATTAACGCGTTAAAAAATTAACGCATTTTAATCGCAGTTATTTTTGCACCGCGGAACGTTTCTCACTGGATGAGTTTCAGGCGTACCGATTATACTGGAGCACCAACTAACGTTCATGACTTCAGACAACAACAAACCACAGTGAACAACAGTGGGAAATGTTGTTTTAAAAAACGGACGGATGGAAGCGTCGATAAGAGCACGGTTGTGTGCAAATTATGCAAAAAGGAATTCGCATATCACCGCAACACCTCAAGCCTCAAGTATCACCTCAATGCAAAACATATAGCAGCTAGCGTGGAAGCTAGCATGGACGTTAGCCTCTTTTATCGCGTTCACACCAAAAAGAGCCGGTACTAAAATTAGTTAATGAGAACCTTTTTACCCCCACGAAAGTCCCTGCTAGAGAGCAGGGACTTTCGTGCGGCTCTCTTGTGAGAAAAGAGCTATATTTCTGATTGGCTGGGCGGATTGCAAACCACGCCCCGTAAAACTCCCAAAAAGTTTTGTGAAGCCGCCATTTTATTATCCTCGCATTAGCATTATTAGCATTAGCCCAGCGCAGAAACGCAGAGAGACTAACTTATGGCAACACAAAATAAAACATGGGAGCGGTGGAGATGAGGAGGTGTCGGCGTTCTGGCGATTTACTCGGAAGGCTGCTGGGACTCCCAGCAGCTTCTACTGAAGCCAGTCCCCAACTCCGGGGACTTCCGGCCGGGGACTTTGGGCGGCAGTATACGCCGTGAAGTGGTTTGCGGCCTGCCAGTAAACCCAAAGCAGAAGAAGAAGAAGTGACGTCAGCGGCTTCATTTGCCTAATCCACCCCCAGGTTCAAAGAGTTCTCATGAACTAAGTTCTCATGAACCTTTGTGGGAAAAGTACTGCGGTGTGAATGCGCCTAATGGTATACTAAAATCCATGTGAAAAAAAATTGCTTCTCACTGTTCTTAGGTCAAATATGTATATGCGATTAAAAATGCGATTAATTTCGATTAATTAATTACAAAGCCTCTAATTAATTAGATTAATTTTTTTAATCGAGTCCCGGCCCTAATTAGAACATAAAGTCACTGTTGGTCAGCTTTACATTTGGACCAAAGCAGGAGGAATGCTAGCTTGACTCAGAACAGGATCAGATGGAGGCAGAGTGGTGGGTCTAAGGGAACTGATTTGAGTAAAGGCTTTCCCACACTGTTCACAGCTGTATGATTTCTCTCAAGTGTGAATACGACGATGGATCTTAAGATTGTGTGATTTAGTAAATGACTTGTCACACTGTTCACAGCTGTATGGTTTTTCTCCAGTGTGGATGCGTTGGTGGACTTTAAGGTTACGAGAACAAGAAAAAGTTTTCCCACACTGTTCACACCAGTATGGTTTCTCTCCTGTGTGAACACGATGATGGACTTTGAGTTCACTTGATGTAACGTACGTTTTTTCACATTCTTTACAGCTGTATGGTTTCTCTCCAGTGTGAACACGTTGATGGACTGTGAGTCTACATGAAGTAATGAACATTTTCCCACATTCTTCACACCAGTATGGTTTCTCTCCTGTGTGAATACGATAATGGATTGTGAGTTTACTTGAAGTAGTGAACGTTTTCCCACACTGGTCACAGCTGTATGGTTTCTCTCCTGTGTGAATTCGCTGGTGGGATCGAAGGTGACCTTTCTCAGTAAAGTTGTTGCCACACTGTTCACAACGGTAGGGTTTCTCTCCAGTATGAATGCGCTGATGAGATGTAAGGTTGCCTTTCTGAGCAAAGGTTTTCCCACATTGGTCACAGCTGTATGGTTTCTCTCCTGTGTGAACTCTCTGATGAACCTTTGATTCTCCAGAGGTCTTGAAGGATTTGTCACACAGGTCACAGATGTGAAGTCTGAGTCCTCTCTGATTCTAAAGCAACAGACACACAGAGAGAGAGACATTCATTAGACAATCTTTTGCAACATTCCTTCTTGAACAAAAACAAAGTAATTGAGCTATCGTTTTTAAACTAATCGTTCTCAACAAATGTTATTAAATAACTGATAAAGAATCACTCAAATGCAGCAGTCTGCATCTGTAGATTTATCCTAAATTCACCAAAAGTTAGCATTCTAACGTAACAAAGTACCGCGACCGCTGTTTGCACCATGTCAACAGAGATATCGGTTGAAATAATGCATAATCTCATCGGATCCAAATATGGTCATTTCCTTTGTATCAGCAACCAATCGTTTACAAAGGGGTCTTAACCAGTTAAGCCCGAAGGTCCCCCCAGTGGACCCCTCCCAGTTTTGTTCTCTCACATGTCTCAGGGCTTCTTAACATTTATGAAACTATTAATGTTTCATACCCTTTTAAAAGGTAAGAAACTCCGCTAACTGACAATAAGAACAATTGTTAGCTAAAAAAAACACAAGAGTAATACCAAGCCTTTGAATTAGCATTGAGCGAAAAAATGCTAACTAATGCTAACGCTTTTTTACACACGGTAGAAATGCCCTTATTACTATCTTAACTGCACAAACAAGATATACGATTTAAAGCTGAGACTCCACACATGTAATGTCATCACTGTAAGACCTCGAATTCCTGGAGCTATCAGCCAGAAAAGAGAAAGTAAACAACATCCGGTTCCAAAAATATTACAATAATTACGTCTTACCTTTTTTGATTTGTGATCAAAAGTTGTGTTCAACGGAATAAAAACGCATCTCAAGGTTAATCCAATGTCTTTGTGTCACGTAGAATTTTTTACTGATAATCAATCATCATATTTATGGCAATATACTCGGTATAAAGTATTGCCGTCCAGGCTTGCACTTTCAGATATGCTTCGTTTGCTTCTCTATTACGTCCGCTATGGTAATGTTTACGTAGATTTGGGAACTGCCCATCGATTCTATTGGTTCTGATGGTTAAGAAAAAGGTGTAAATCACACGAATCGACCAATGGGTTCCAGAGATATGGTCCTGCATAAAGTATAAAGAATGCCAGCCAGCGTGGCAACATTACGCAGCCGACTTCATTTATTGTTTACAACGTAACGAAGCAGGAAATGCAGCAGGACCCAGAGCGCACGGAGCACAGAGCGGACAGCAGATAACGGAATTGCAGTTTTATTGCTTATAGATTATCAGAACATTTCAAAGGGGACACAGTCACATTGGATATTAACCTATGGATTAACTACATCATCGTTTTTATCGTTGTAATGCCATTGAAGACCAGTTTAGACCAGGCAAAGACGAAGGTAAGCCATGCGCCACTTGTTTTGATGTACGTTTTTGTTGATAACGTCGCAAGTTTGTATCTTTCAGTGTTGAGGTGGGCACCGTTAGATTCTGTGTCTTTACGATCATAAACGATGTGTTGGATGTGCAGCTAGGATAAGTAATAAGGGAGCTAGATGTTAGCATTGTGTGTTTTTTTTGAAAAAAAAATGAAAAGATCAGTTAAATGAGTTTTTCCCCGTTATATGGATATAATATATTCATAGTTTATTAAATATTAAGGTTCCTTAGACGTTGTTTCCTGCAAATGACGCGATTTCGGGTCCGTGGGGCCTAAGAGGATAACAGAGTATGTTTTTGTTTTTTTCACAACAGTTGTATTTGGATGGAATGAATACCTATAGTGATAATTCAAAGTAATAAAAATGATTTTTACAGTGAAAAAGGTCAAATGGAACTGATGGTTCCCAAATACCCAGAGGTGAGTCCACCTGGACTTTATTTTTCTAAACCTCTCTAAAAAGGTCAAATTTAACTTGTTTTGCATCAATCTTGATATAGGGTACTTATTATATGTTATAGTTTGGATTCCTAAAGCTTTTAGTCTACTAACCCATCATTCAAGGGTGCTTTTCACTATAAGTAATGGGGGTTTTTTAGGCGGACATTAGAATTTACATGTTTTTACTATGTTCCATCTGAATTTACTTTAAAATAAAAACATCTATATTGATTCTGACACTTCTACATCCAACTCACAGATTTAACCTTGCTTTGAGAGAAAATATTATTAATGTACCCCTTTTAGAAGTGAAGATATAGTCTTTGTTGTGTTAGTGGCATTTTCGAGGCTCAGGGCTTAAGAGGTTAACAGGATAAACATCCAGGATAAAAGCCACATAGTTGCACCTGCAAGGTGAATACAGCTGGTAAAAGAAAAAGTGTTTGAATGCGTACATTAACAGGTTTATGACATCACTGCCCCGTCTAAGACACGAGTGGATCTGACTTTAATTACATTTGACTCGAGTGTTTCGTCAACTTAATGTGTTGCTTAAAATAATACTTCTGCATACAGTCTGTTGCACGGCCAGATACGGCTCAGCTGACTCAGATAAGGAAATATATGATAGTCTATAGTGTCGCGGACTGTACGTAATGTTACTTTGATCCGGTTACTTATGTTGTGGCAGATATGTAAGTACGTTTTCTTAACGCTAATGTTAAAATAGCCAAATTGCTCTGAAGATGGGAGGTGATATTCTATTAATGTTCACGTTCACACAGTCGGTGATTTTTAAACTGTATTTCCTTTCTCCTGTATTATGACTTGATCGCTTTAAACTCCGCACACTGAGCTCTGATTGGTAAGCAGGCGGTGCTTTCACTGAGTTGATCTCTTATCATGGAACCTAACCTGCTCCGGAGCAAGCTAGCCGTTCAGCATAAGTTACCATGAAGATCTAGCCGCTTTATCTACTTTTACTTGAGGAACATTTTGATTGCAGGATTGTTCCTACACTCTGGTACTTCTACTTTTATTCTAGTACAAGATCTGAGTACTTCTACTTTTGCTCAAGTACAATATCTATACTTTCACGACCACTGTTTATAACCTATGAAAAAAACTATTAGAAAACTAAAGCTAACGTTAGCAGATAGTGATAATGTATAGTTAGCTAGCTCTACGATTCCTTAAATAATATTGCGACAGAAAGACGTTTCAATTCACATCAGCTCTGCCGCTCCGACAGGGAGCTCTACCAGCGGTCCAGTCTGTGCCACGGTGACTCCGACCGCACAGTTACTATTAAGGAACGCACCCGTAGGTAATGTAGCTGCTGAAGCTAGACCCTCATCACAGAGCAGCAGAGTTCAGCCGACAGACAGGAAGACTCCAGCACACAGCTTGCGCTTCATTATAATATATAAAAAAATAACACCATGCGCTTCATGATGGCACATAACAGCTCGAGGCCGCAGATTACTGTCCCTGGGCAAGACACTTCACCCCGAATTGCTCCTGTGGGGATTGCCCACAGTATTGAGTATGTAAGTCGCTTTGGATAAAAGCATCTAACAAGTAATGTTTATCCTTAAACAAAAGTACAGGTTTAAAGTCCTTAAATAACACAAATGTCCCAGTGTAAGGGATAACAGTGTTAGGAATATATTGTGATGAAGTGAACACTGACCTGAGTTCTGGGGGTCTCTTTGTTCCCCTCCATGCTGCTCTCAGTGCTCCTTCTCCGTCTGGGTCTCTGAAATAAGTATTAACACTACAGTCAACACAAAACCAATCTACAGCTAAGAAGTAGCTTAACAGCAGAGGTGGGAATAAATTAACTCCATCCTGCTAGCAGGTTAGGGTTAGATGGAAAGGCCTGCACTTCACGAACATAAACTCCGCCAGGGGCGAACAGTGTTTGTAGAAAACCACAGCGTCCCTACACCAAGCATCACTGATGTAAACAATCACATCGCCGCCGCTCTTCCCCCCCGCTAACCGTAGATCTATCTGAGCAGTAGCATGTTAGCCAGTCGAGCTGAATGTCAGATTCTGGGATGTTGCCATTTTGCCATGAAAACGTACACAGCACTCTGTGTCGACCGGAGTAGTCTTATGATGTCCATGTTATTGTCCAGTGAGCGAACATTAGCCATGATGCTCGGAATAGCGGGCCTGTGTGGGCTAGCTGCTAGTCTAGCTTGAATGTCTCCGCGCATACCCCTCTTCTGCTTCCTCTCACACCGCTTGCGGCGTCTCCTATTTATGGGCTCAGAACAGTCTCATAATACACACATGCGCACAGAAGGATTCACATTTGTATTTCATGATCCGCAAAAGGATTCACACTTGTGTTTTTCAATGCACACACAAATGTATTCCGTTTCATATACATGTAAATAAAATCCAAATACAGAAAAAAGTTTTACATGTGTATTTTTGATCCTCACATATTTGTTTTCCCGTTTAAAACGTCTGAACCTGCAAACACAAACCGCTTTCTGTGCACGGATCGCTGTGCATTCGTGTGTGGGTTTTTTGAGACTCCCCTGACGGTCAGCCGATTCGTACTTGTAATTATTTCTATCTATAGCCAATCAGATGTCTCCTCAATTCTAAGCCAATCACATGAGCACGCCCCCACAATGGTAGATTTCTTGCGTTCATGACGTAGCGCTTCATGTACGCATTTTGCTCAGTCCGGAGCTGACAGGTCCATGGAGCCTGCCTGCAGCCGCTAATCTCAGGACACCCTCCACTCTCAGTACAGCGCCACTTTCCGAACAGGAAATGCACGCAAATACAAGCCTTTATATTATTAAGGTACAGCGCCACTTTCCAAACCATTGATGAATGCTTGTGTACATAAAAACGGCAGGCAAAACCGTTTTAAATGTGTGTTTCCTGTATGGCGAATACAGCTGCTTTATTTATGTCTGAAGTTGTTGTGAGTGTGGAGGGAGCAGCTACAGGTTAGCTTAGCCTAATCGATCAGTGCACTACGAAGCCAGTGCTAGACAGTGACCTGTTAACGGGGGGAGCCCCGCCGGTCATTATCGGCCGATATTCACTCTTAATAGTTTGATCGGTGCTCTCTATAAAGGCCGATCAAGAGAGCTGGATCTGATCGATATGGACATAAACGCGAGTGAAGTATAACCGGACTCAAGAGAGAGATCAGATCAGCTGCTGAGTCTGATGGAGACACGCTGCTCTGCATGATGACCTGATGCTCCGCCCTCTGTTTAGCGAGCTGACCGGACTGCGCAAAATGCGTATATGAAGTAATCTTACCCTCGTGGGGGCGCGCTCATGTGATTGACTTAGAATGAAGGAGACATCTGATTGGCTATAGATAGAAACAATTACAAGTACGAATCGGCTGACCGTCAGGGGAGTCTCAAAAAACCCACACACAAATGCAAAGCGATCCGTGCACAGAAAGCTGGTTGTGTTTGCAGGTTCAGGGGATTTAAACGGGAAACTAATAAGTGAGGATCAAAAATACATATGTAAAACTTTTTTCTGTATTTGGATTTTATTTACATGTATATGAAACGGAATACATTTGTGTGTGCATTGAAAAACACAAGTATGGATCCGGAAATACAAGTTTGAATCCTTCTGTGTGCATGTGTGTATTATGAGACTGTTCTGAGCCCATACCTATTCAGCACGAGGTTGAACGTATCCCAAAGCCGCTGAGTACCTCTGCCAGCGTAGCGTCTATTGTTTGTTTTGTTGTTATTTCCTTCTCCAGCAGGAACTCACGACTGTACTGTATATTCCTGACTGTACTATCGGTTCGGGATGTTAGAAGTTAACTAGACGAACACACGTTAAAAACACTAAAGACTCGGGAGAGCTAGTTGCTGTCTGCGCTGCCATCTTGGTTAGCCTGCTGTGAGGAATGATCGATGAACAGCTCCAAATTAAAAATCTACTCAGTATTATCAGTAGTAAAACAACACAGTGTTATAGCACCTCTTTCTTTCAGAATGAAGCGAAAAGTATTCAAATAGGTGAAAATCACAACAAGTCTGGCCATGTTGAGAACTGTACATACACAAAAGGGGAGTTAGTCGGTTCCAGCATGCGGGACTGGCTTTACAAGGTGTTGGTGATTAGGGATGGGTATCGTTTGAAATTTATCGATTCCGATTCCGATTCCGGTTCTGCTTATCAATTCCGGTTCTTATCGATTCCCCGTTTCGATTCCAAAATTGTAAAAGAAAGAGGTCAAACGTTTAGATAACAAAAATATCTTTATTCTTTTCAGCTTTAACTGAAATTGTTACAAATAAAAAATATACATGCAATACAAATGTATTGCACAATAGCTGTGCTTTATTTTAACTGAGCTATGCCTGTGGCAAGCTATTAACACTGTGCCCAATTGTCTTTTTATTTTTTAGTGTAGTGGAGCCTCACTTCAGAGCGTTTACCGCGACCCATCTTTGGTGTTATGAAGTGACTGAGCTCGTGAACTGTCTACGGGAGGGCGGGGGGAGCCTCGCTGCGGGGCAACTGTGGACCTCTGTCGCCTGTCAGCGCAACTTACATGATGCCGTTTAAAAAAATTAAGGGCGGTGCCGGCCATCAGCGTACCGAGCCGGCCGTCAACGGCCCGCTGACGACCGGCCGTTCTGTGATTCTCCAGGTCCGCCCTGTATTCCACCGGGTCGCCGCGGTACAGACGGACCCGCTGGAATACAGGGTCTACCGCGTTTAGGAACCGTTAAGCAGAACCGAAAAGGTGTATTTTGTACGGGTACCCGGCATTTTCTTATCGGTTCTCATCTGGAACCGAGTTTCGGTTCCCAACCCTATTGGTGAGTAACACGAGTGTAATGTGTAACGTTAATGTCAGCTAGCTAAATTCACCTACGCGACTCTGGGATTTGTAGTCTTTCAAGTTGCATATTTTTCATAGTCTTATATTTCAACAGGTTTAAGACAAACTGACTTTTTTGACATGGAAATTATTTTTTAAGATTGACAAACATCATATGTGTAATTCGTGGCACAATTCAAACGGGATCGAACGATAATCTTTCTCTCCCCATTGACTGCAACACATGATTTTTCAGAAATAAGGTCCCATGGGGCGGAAGTAGATGGGCGTGACTTCGCCACTCTATAGTCCAGTGAGCGAACATTAGCCATGATGCTCGGAATAGCGGGCCTGTGTGGGCTAGCTGCTAGTCTAGCTCGGATGCCTCCGCGCTTACCCCTCTTGTGATTCCTCCGTTTGTTTTGTTGTTATTTCCTTGTCCAGCAGGAACTCACGACTGTACTGTATACTCCTGGCTGTACTATCGGTTCAGGATGTTAGCAGTGAACTAGACGAACACACGTTAAAAACACTAAAGACTCGGGAGAGCTAGCTGCTGCTGTCTGTGCTGCCATCTTGGTTAGCCTGCTGTGAGGAATGATCGATGAACAGCTCCAAATTATAAAAAAGTACTAAGTATTATCAGTAGTAAAACAACTCAGTGTTATAGTAAAAGTACTCAGTAATCTCAGTAGTAAAAGTACACAGTATTATAGTAAAAGTAGACAGTATTACCCGGTGTTTCTGCTACTCTTTGTTCGTCAGTTTGTTGATGTTCACCGACTAGCATTAGCCACCTAGCATGAAGCAGCTAACAGCAGATAAGGATCCGGATGAAGAGGTGGAATTGTTCTGAAGCTCCTCTCGTCTCTTCTTCTCCTGAGAGAAACGGGTTATATTCTAATATATCACAGATATATATGAATGAGAGCTGATAGAGACTCCGACTGATGGAAGCTTCACAACTGGATCTTGCCTGAGAGCATGGTCGAGAGCAGAAGTACCCGGATGTGGGCCCACAGAGCATGCGCAGTGGAGTTTTCCCGTAAGCCCCGCCTCCCATCTCCCGCTCTCTGTCAGTTAGATCAGGGGTTCCCAAACGTTGCCATGCCAAGGACCCCCATATAGCATTATCCTCTGGCGGGGACCCCCCTGTTGCAATTTTTTTTTAAATGATGTGTAAGTTAAAAAAATAACACCATGCGCTTCATGATGGCACATAATAGCTCGAGGCCGCAGATTACTGTCCCTGGGCAAGACACTTCACCCCGAATTGCTCCTGTGGGGATTGCCCACAGTATTGAGTATGTAAGTCGCTTTGGATAAAAGCATCTAACAAGTAATGTTTATCCTTAAACAAAAGTACAGGTTTAAAGTCCTTAAATAACACAAATGTCCCAGTGTAAGGGATAACAGTGTTAGGAATATATTGTGATGAAGTGAACACTGACCTGAGTTCTGGGGGTCTCTTTGTTCCCCTCCATGCTGCTCTCAGTGCTCCTTCTCCGTCTGGGTCTCTGAAATAAGTATTAACACTACAGTCAACACAAAACCAATCTACAGCTAAGAAGTAGCTTAACAGCAGAGGTGGGAATAAATTAACTCCATCCTGCTAGCAGGTTAGGGTTAGATGGAAAGGCCTGCACTTCACGAATAGTGTTGTCACGATACCAACATGTTGGTTTCGATACCGATACCAAGTCAAGAATTGCGATTCCGATTCTTTTCTTAAAAAAAGGGAAACAGTCTTAAATGTAATTATTGTGCTTTATTTCACACCAGAACCATAACACAAACGTTTAAACAATGAGAACAATAAACAAAATAAATGACAATAATTCGTATTAAATCAAATTAAGCATCATCTCAAACAACTTTTTTGTTTTATAAAATATAATTTTTTTTATATTTTATTAACATTTAATAGTACAGTAATATAAATAATTATTGACCAAATGTATATTGCAGATGTTAGCCACATTGGTAAGTTAGCTAAAAATGTATCATTGCCATTAATTGCCTCGTTTGTCACAAAATAAATTACACTGGTTTGACTTAGATTTGAGGGCATGGGCATGTTATCTATCATATTCGCTAACCTGTCTGTCTTTAAATTCTTTAAACAGCTCTGGATGCCGGTTGGCGGGTGCTTAGCCAAGTTTGATGTGTTGGCTCCCTTGGTTTGCAGGGATCTAAAACATGTCTCACAGACAGGCCTCGTGGTGTCGGTAGGCTTGTCCTCACTGTCAGAGATATAGCTCAAATATTTCCAAATTTCGCTTTTGCCGTCTTTTTTGTCAACAAGCCGAGGCGCAGCGGCAGTTGCACTCCCACTTGCAGCCATGCTTCTCGTTTTCTCACATGCTCTGGCAGCTAGCGCGTGGCCGCGTGCACGAGAGAGGGGAGGGACTTAGAGCGTGCTTGAGAGGGGCGGGACTGAAGGCACGGCTGCAGTGCAGGGAGAGTGGAAGCAGAGCACTGAACACACACGGCTCTTATTAAAACGGCGCTTTCTCACCGGAGTATTTTTCCCTGTCATTCTTAAAGTACCGATACTAATGAAACGGAGGAATCGTACCGTTTTTAACGGCAGGGTATCGCGGTACCTTTCAAGTATCGGTACACCGTGCAACATTATTCACGAACATAAACTCCGCCAGGGGCGAACAGTGTTTGTAGAAAACCACAGCGTCCCTACACCAAGCATCACTGATGTAAACAATCACATCGCCGCCGCTCTTCCCCCGCTAACCGTAGCTCTATCTGAGCAGTAGCATGTTAGCCAGTCGAGCTGAATGTCAGATTCTGGGATGTTGCCATTTTGCCATGAAAACGTACACAGCACTCTGTGTCGACCGGAGTAGTCTTATGATGTCCATGTTATTGTCCAGTGAGCGAACATTAGCCATGATGCTCGGAATAGCGGGCCTGTGTGGGCTAGCTGCTAGTCTAGCTTGAATGTCTCCACGCATACCCCTCTTCTGCTTCCTCTCACACCGCTTGCGGCGTCTCCTATTTATGGGCTCAGAACAGTCTCATAATACACACATGCGCACAGAAGGATTCACACTTGTGTTTTTCAAAGCACACACAAATGTATTCCGTTTCATATACATGTAAATAAAATCCAAATACAGAAAAAAGTTTTACATATGTATTTTTGATCCTCACATATTTGTTTTCCGTTTGAATCCCCTGCACCTGCAAACACAAACAGCTTTCTGTGCACGGATTGCTGTGCATTCGTGTGTGGGTTTTTTGAGACTCCCCTGACGGTCAGCCGATTCGTACTTGTAATTATTTCTATCTATAGCCAATCAGATGTCTCCTCAATTCTAAGCCAATCACATGAGCGCGCCCTCACGATGGTAGATTTCTTGCGTTCATGACGTAGCGCTTCATGTACGCATTTTGCTCAGTCCGGAGCTGACAGGTCCATGGAGCCTGCCTGCAGCCGCTAATCTCAGGACACCCTCCACTCTCAGTACAGCGCCACTTTCCGAACAGGAAATGCACGCAAATACAAGCCTTTATATTATTAAGGTACAGCGCCACTTTCCAAACCATTGATGAATGCTTGTGTACACAAAAACGGCAGGCAAAACCGTTTTAAATGTGTGTTTCCTGTATGGCGAATACAGCTGCTTTATTTATGTCTGTATGAAGTTGTTGTGAGTGTGGAGGGAGCAGCTACAGGTTAGCTTAGCCTAATCGATCAGTGCACTACGAAGCCAGTGCTAGACAGTGACCTGTTAACGGGGGGGAGCCCCGCCGGTCATTATCGGCCGATATTCACTCTTAATAGTTTGATCGGTGCTCTCTATAAAGGCCGATCAAGAGAGCTGGATCTGATCGATATGGACATGAACGCGAGTGAAGTATAACCGGAAGCAAGAGAGGGATCAGATCAGCTGCTGAGTCTGATGGAGACACGCTGCTCTGCATGATCACCTGATGCTCCGCCCTCTGTTTAGCGAGCTGACCGGACTGCGCAAAATGCGTATATGAAGTAATCTTACCCTCGTGGGGGCGCGCTCATGTGATTGACTTAGAATGAAGGAGACATCTGATTGGCTATAGATAGAAAAAATTACAAGTACGAATCGGCTGACCGTCAGGGGAGTCTCAAAAAACCCACACACAAATGCACAGCGATCCGTGCACAGAAAGCTGTTTGTGTTTGCAGGTTCAGGGGATTTAAACGGGAAACTAATAAGTGAGGATCAAAAATACATATGTAAAACTTTTTTCTGTATTTGGATTTTATTTACATGTATATGAAACGGAATACATTTGTGTGTGCATTGAAAAACACAAGTATGGATCCGGAAATACAAGTTTGAATCCTTCTGTGTGCATGTGTGTATTATGAGACTGTTCTGAGCCCATACCTATTCAGCACGAGGTTGAACGTATCCCAAAGCCGCTGAGTACCTCTGCCAGCGTAGCGTCTATTGTTTGTTTTGTTGTTATTTCCTTCTCCAGCAGGAACTCACGACTGTACTGTATATTCCTGACTGTACTATCGGTTCGGGATGTTAGAAGTTAACTAGACGAACACACGTTAAAAACACTAAAGACTCGGGAGAGCTAGTTGCTGTCTGCCCTGCCATCTTGGTTAGCCTGCTGTGAGGAATGATCGATGAACAGCTCCAAATTAAAAATCTACTCAGTATTATCAGTTTTAAAGTACTCAGTATTATCAGTAGTAAAACAACACAGTGTTATAGCACCTCTTTCTTTCAGAATGAAGCGAAAAGTATTCAAATAGGTGAAAATCACAACAAGTCTGGCCATGTTGAGAACTGTACATACACAAACGGGGAGTTAGTCGGTTCCAGCATGCGGGACTGGCTTTACAAGGTGTTGGTGAGTAACACGAGTGTAATGTGTAACGTTAATGTCAGCTAGCTAAATTCACCTACGCGACTCTGGGATTTGTAGTCTTTCAAGTTGCATATTTTTCATAGTCTTATATTTCAACAGGTTTAAGACAAACTGACTTTTTTGACATGGAAATGATTTTTTAAGATTGACAAACATCATGTGTAATTCGTGGCACAATTCATACTGGATCGAACGATAATCTTTCTCTCCCCATTGACTGCAACACATGATTTTTCAGAAATAAGGTCCCATGGGGCGGAAGTAGATGGGCGTGACTTCGCCACTCTATAGTCCAGTGAGCGAACATTAGCCATGATGCTCGGAATAGCGGGCCTGTGTGGGCTAGCTGCTAGTCTAGCTCGGATGCCTCCGCGCGTACCCCTCTTGTGCTTCCTCCGTTTGTTTTGTTGTTATTTCCTTGTCCAGCAGGAACTCACGACTGTACTGTATACTCCTGGCTGTACTATCGGTTCAGGATGTTAGCAGTGAACTAGACGAACACACGTTAAAAACACTAAAGACTCGGGAGAGCTAGCTACTGCTGTCTGTGCTGCCATCTTGGTTAGCCTGCTGTGAGGAATGATCGATGAACAGCTCCAAATTATAAAAAAGTACTAAGTATTATCAGTAGTAAAACAACTCAGTGTTATAGTAAAAGTACTCAGTAATCTCAGTAGTAAAAGTACACAGTATTATAGTAAAAGTAGACAGTATTACCCGGTGTTTCTGCTACTCTTTGTTCGTCAGTTTGTTGATGTTCACCGACTAGCATTAGCCACCTAGCATGAAGCAGCTAACAGCAGATAAGGATCCGGATGAAGAGGTGGAATTGTTCTGAAGCTCCTCTCGTCTCTTCTTCTCCTGAGAGAAACGGGTTATATTCTAATATATCACAGATATATATGAATGAGAGCTGATAGAGACTCCGACTGATGGAAGCTTCACAACTGGATCTTGCCTGAGAGCATGGTCGAGAGCAGAAGTACCCGGATGTGGGCCCACAGAGCATGCGCAGTAGAGTTTTCCCTTAATCCACGCCTCCCATCTCCCGCTCTCTGTCAGTTAGATCAGGGGTTCCCAAACGTTGCCATGCCAAGGACCCCCATATACAGGGCCGCCCCTGGCCAAGTTGGGGCCCCAAGCGACATTGTGAGATGAGGCCCCCCCTAACCGACAGGAGTGAAAACATTTTTTTTGGAAACAAAGTAGGCTACTTTGAAAATATAATTCCTGTTCATTATTATTATTATTATCAACAGTTACTTTTGTATACGGTGAGGTAAATGGTAAATGTGCATGTATGTCGTTCAGTATGCGTTTACAGGTGAATACGTCTGCATTTCCTGCCAAATACTAGCCTCAAAAAGATTACAATATAATGAATGCAAATAAACTACTTCTACTAATAATCATAATCAATTCAATAATATAAATACTATATTATTTTATTATAATATAGTTGTAATATAGTCAAGACAAAACATGCTTATGACATGCTCAAAAACTGATATTTCTTAAATCTGTATTCTAGTTCCCTCTGTCAGCAATGTATCAACAACTACACACACATTTCTATCAGTATTTCTCTGTGTTGTGGTTGACATGATGATGACTGTTAGGGGTTAAGGGGAGAGGCTGAGCATCACCATCAAATGTGCAAATTCACATAAAAATGAATAAGAGGGGAAAAAATGCTCCATGTTTTTTAAGCTGTAAACTTGAACTGTTATGTAAGCCAACTAGACAGACAGTGTATCACTCTTCCTCCTGTACATTAGCAGATAAAAGGCATAACATACTTGAATGAATGTTAAATAAAGAATGCTGGAAATAACTGCATCTCCATTAGCCTGTATGCTATGCAGAGACTGCCTTCTTCATGTCGTGAATTGCAGCTGATGTTTTAATATGGCAATTGGTAATTTGACTTATACAACATTCGCAAGTTGTACATTTGACTCATACAATAACCCACCTTCGAGTGATGCTCTAGTTTCTTCATGGTTAGTTTTTTTTCCCTCTTGCGCCGGACTGAAAACTGTCTTTCAGCGACATCTCTTCACCTGCACTAGTGGCCGTATCAAAGCCGTGATTGGTCAGATGTCGATTCATTGCAACGGTGTCGGGTTACAGACGTGCTCCCCTTGTCACCTCTCACTCTCACGGGGGGGGGGGGGGGGTGGGGGGGGGGGGGGGGGGCGGAGAACGGAGAACTGAGCGGAGAACTGAGCGGGAACTGAGCGGAGAACTGAACGGAGACGAGATAACTGAGCGGAGGAGAACCTGAGCGGGAGAACTGAGCGGAGGAGAACTGCGCACAGCAGCTGAGGCCCTCTGGGCGGGGCCCCCTGCGCAAGGCGGGGCCCCATGCAGCCTGCGTGATTGGCCTGTAGGGAGGGGCGGCCCTGCCCATATAGCATTATCCTCTGGCGGGGACCCCCCTGTTGCAATTTTTTTTTAAATGATGTGTACAAGTGCCTCCCGATGGAACATGCAGTGCGTTGCCACTACATTTGGGGCCTTCTGCCTGATCGAAACTGTCACTCCGCTGTATTTGCCTGTCATAGCCCCACTGCCCCATCTGAACACACACCCACACAACGAGACCAGTCAAGTCCGTTTGAGATGATCTAAAACTTGGAAAATGTCTCTTCATGTGGTCCTACCTTCCAGTGCTTTGCAAAAATAATATTTCCTCAACAAAGTTGTCTTCTGAAATAAATCTGATGTATGCAAGCAATTCTGCGACATTTGCTGAGCAGATTTTCACTCGCTGTAGCGGCAGCTCGATTCTGATTTGCTTGAAGGGCGGTCGTGTGATTAAAAAACAAAAAATATGAAAAGATTGGCATCAAAGGACACAGATTGATAGATATGCAGTTATTAATAACATTTATGCAATGTAATGTAATGTAATGTAATTTTAAAAAATCAAACTTAAAAAAAAAAATCCTGTTTTACAAACTAAATAAAATTCTGATATGAAAATAAAATAGTATTTGTTTCCTTATTATTTTAATTTGTTTTGTTTTTTTAAAAAGTCTACTCACCTAGTTCGTCTTCCACTGCCTCTGAAAGAACTAGAGAGATTGAAACTGTGGTTATTGGCTTATTGTTGACTGCCAATATATTTATAATAATTAAATATAATAAAAATAATAATAATAAAGCTTACAAAATGATATAAGAAAATAATATAATACATGATGAAATATAATTATATAATATAACTTAAAATAAGTTTAAATAAATAATAAAAGTTAATATTACACAACCGAACAAATATTAAATAAAAAAGCATAAAATAATGATAATAATAGGAAGAAGAAGAAGAATAATGGACAGCCCCTCCCCACGCCCCTCTGAGAGTTATTTTGTTAAAAAGAACACAATGGTGCTGAGGAGATTCAGGTGATAAGGTGTGTGTGTGGGGGGGGGATACCTTGGTTTGTGATTGGCTAATGGTTACAGAAGCCAAAACATCGTTATGACATAAAGTGGCCAACATCTAATCATCTCATTTTCAGACAGGTTTTTATAGAAATGGATCAGGACAAAAAGAGAGAGAATCTTTTTTCCTGAAACTTTCAGAGTCTCTTTACACAGAGGGGACACATGTTGATGTAGAAGAGACATGGAGAAGAGGGGACACATGTTGATGTAGAAGAGACTTGAAGAAGAGGGGACACATGTTGATGTAGAAGAGACATGAAGAAGAGGGGACACATGTTGATGTAGAAGAGACATGGAGAAGAGGGGACACATGTTGATGTAGAAGAGACATGAAGAAGAGGGGACACATGTTGATGTGGAAGAGACATGAAGAAGAGGGGACACATGTTGATGTGGAAGAGACATGAAGAAGAGGGGACACATGTTGATGTAGAAGAGACATGAAGAAGACTAATTCGTTTTCCTCTGAAAGAGCTAGACAGATTGAAACTGTGGTTATTGGCTTATTGTTGACTGACAATATATTTATAATAATACAAAATAATAATAATAATAATAATAATAGCAATAATCTATAATCAATAATTATTCATTATTAATAATTATTATAATCAATAATAGCACACAAAATGATATAAGCAAATAATATAATACATGATGAAATATAATTATATAACATAATATCATATAACTTAAAGTAATTTTAAATAAATAATAAAAGTTAATATTACACAACATAACAAATATAAAATAAAAAGCATAAATTAATAGTAGTAATAATAATAATAATAATAATAATAATAATAATAATAATAATAGGAAGAAGAATAATGCACAAAACATTCTATGAATTAATGTAACACAACTTAAAATAATGAAAACCCAATTCAAAAATAAAATCCTGATAATACAATAAAAAAACTGCATTTATTTTTGTGTTGATCAATTAATGGTTTTGTTAAACAAGAAAGAAATCCAAAGTCTTCTCACCTAATTCGTCTTCCTCCGGCGGCAGTTCTCCTGTTTGTCTAGAAGTCTTCTCAGCAGGGCTCTATAAATATTACGGCAGATATGTAATATTTAATGCAGCCGAACCGTGTATTACAATGCCGTTATGTGATGACTTTCAAAGAGAAAAGCAAGCACACTCGGAATAAAGTATTATTGTATTTTTAAAAAATGTTTTCAGATTTCACATCACATAAACACCAAATCCCAGCATGCATAACCATCCAATCATCGAGCTGAGGATCTTGCCGACGTCTGTTTGCGGTTTCGTTTAATGACCGATGTATTTTGTTATACACACATTCCTTCACATTTACATTTTAATGTGTATTCAAGTATTTCGTGAGGCCTTCTAACATGTTTTTAAATATAACTACGGTTGTAGTTGAATCATTTGTAAATTAACATGAACCGAAGCTGTTGCTTGGCAACTCAATCGCACAACGTCACGTCCGTTAATTCCACATCCACACGCATGGATTAACATCGATTTAACACATTAATGTAGCCTTTGTTTATGCAAAAAGAGGTGTCGACCAGCTGGGGCAACAAGAAAATCGCTGTAATCGAGTGTGACTATTAAAAAATAAATCATTACGTCGGGGTAGCATTTGCTTGGTATTTCCGGTTATTTCTCCACTGGTTAACATGGGTTAACAATACCGTGAAGCTGTCACGTTTGAAGGGGACGAAACCGTGACATCTTCACGTCTCCCAGCATGGTAAATCGTCACATGTTCACGTCTTGCCGTGATACCGGGTTGAATGCGTTACTGTGAAAAGTAACGTTTTTGTTACTTAAAGAAAGGGCTCCCATCAGCGGCGCCGGATTCATTTCAGAAGTGGGGGGGGGCAAAAAGTGCGTGTGTATGTGAGCCCAGAGCCGTATAATAGAAGAGTTATGACCAGGGCTGCACATAACTGGTGCGCAGGTGCGCATGCGCACCTCCGCCAAAAAAAGAGCACCGTGTTATTTGAAAAAAGGCGCATTTGCGTACCAACATTGAGAGAGAGAGAGAGAAGAGAGAGAAAAGAGAAAAGAGAGAAAAGAGAAGAGAGAGAAATATATTTGCGAGTTGCATATGAACTCAGAGCCGGCCCGTAGCACTGGCGTAATAGATGTTCGCCTAGGGCGCCAGATCTGTGGAGGCGCTGCGCTGACAGCTCTGGGAGGGAAAAAAACATTTTTGACCGTTGGTGCTCATCCTAATTTTGGCTTTGATGTAACAATATTCATAATTAAGTAAATGTAACACCCTTTTCACCCCGGTTACACGTTTCATTTGCCCTGTACAATGGGCGCTGTAAGTGATGAAAGTGGGGGATGTTGGCTTATCTGGCAACCGCAGCTCACAGCCAAAATGCGAGTGAGCGTGGGAGAGAGGGAGGGTGCACCGGTACCGGCGCTGTTGTTATTAGAATCTGGTGCTAGCTGCTCTAGCGGATATAAGAAGAAGATGTTTCTACAATGATGTGGAGGGAGAGTCCTCTCCAGTCAGACTGAGAGGCTGATAACTACAGCTCAGTGAGGTAAAGACTCT